AGCATACAAACAACTCTTATTTTTCTCATCTTTAAAAACAAATGAACAGAACCCTTCTCTTGGCCCCTTTTCCACTTCTGTTTTTTTGGTTTTTTTTTTTTGTGAGGAAGATCAGCCCTGAGCTAACATCCATGCCAATCCTCCTCTTTTTTTTGCTGAGGAAGACTGGCCCTGAGCTAACATCTGTGCCTATCTTCCTCCATTTTATGTGGGACGCCGCCCCAGCATGGCCTGACAAGTGGTGCGTCGGTGCGCGCCCAGGATCCGAACCAGGGCCACCAGCAGCAGAGCGCGCACACTTAACCGCTACACCACGGGGCCGGCCCCCCATTTCCACTTCTAACTACAGATCTATTTCTCTTCTCCCCTTTGCAGCAAAACTGAAAGAGTTGTCTTCATTCACTGTTTCCAATTCTTCTCGTTCTTTCTTAAACCCACTTCAATCAGCCTTTCATCTGCACACTCCATGAAAACCGTTGTTGTCAAGGTCACCAATGACCGCCAAGTTGCTATAGCCAGTGGACAGCTCCTAGGCTCATCTCACCTAACCAATCAGCGGCAGTTGAAACAGATTATGAATCCCTCTTCCTTGAAAGATGTTTTTCTCACTTGGCTGCAGAACACCGTGAGCTCCTGGTTGTCCTTCTCCTTCACTTCTTCCTTCTCAGCATCTTTGCTGGCTCCTCCTCATCCCTGTGGCCTTAACTCCGGGTGCTCCAGGAGACAGAGTTTGGACACCTTTTTTGCTGTTTAAACTCAGTCTTTTGGTGATCTCATCCAGTCTCTTGGCCTTAATATCATAGACATGTTGACAAACTCCCAAATGTATCTCTCCAGTCCCAGCCTCCTTCTCTCACCTTCCCCCCAGATCCAACTGCTCCTTGACATTGCAAATATAACATGTCCAAAATCGAACCCCTGGCCTTCCCCGCTCCCCAAACTGCTCCTCCAACAGATGTCACCATCTCAGTCAATGGCACTGAGGCCACGAACCTTGGACTCTTCCTTGATCTCTCTGTGACTCTCACACTACCCCTCCAAACCTTCAGCAAATCGTGTTGGCCACACTTTCAGCATATATCTAGTACCACACCACTGTCACCGTCACTCTGGTCTGCACCACCAGAACGTCGTGCCTGGATTATTGAAATAGTTTCATGGCTGGTCTTCTTTCTTCTGCCCTTGCTTCCCTCGAAACTATACCCAACACAGCCAGAGTGATACCATTCAAGAATGTGCCAGATAATATAACTCTTCTGCTCAAAATCAGACAATGGCTTTCCGTCTCACTCAGAGTACAAAGTCCTTGTAAAGACCTTTGAGTCTCACATAATCTGTCTCCCTGCCTTTCTAACCTCCTATTACTCCCCTTCACTTGCTCTGTCCTCCGCCTCAGGGCCTTTGCACATGTTATTTGTTCTGCATGGAAAGCCTTCTCCACAGACACCTGAAAGGCTTACTCCCTCACCTCCTTTCAGTCTTTGCTTAAATATCATCTTTCTCTGAGGCCTTTCTTGACACTTATTTAAAAATCACTCCCCCTCACCCCAACCCCAATACTCCTGATATGCTCTCTACTTAATTTTTCTCCAAATCACTACACAATTTTTTTTTTGTTGCCTAGATCCTTCGATTAGAATCTAAGTGCCATGAGATTTGCTGCTGTATCTCCCACACCTGGAACAACCCACTGTATGTGACAGGTGCTCAATAAATGTCTATGGAGTGAATAAATTTTTCAAAAAAAATAGAAAAGTAGGGCCGGCTCCGTGGCTTAGCGGTTAAGTGCGCGTGCTCTGATGCTGGCGGCCCGGGTTCGGATCCCGGGAGCGCCCCGAGGCACCACTTCTCCGTCCAACGTGAGGCCGAGTCCCACGTACAGCAACTAGAAGGATGTGAACCTATGACATACAACTATCTACTGGGGCTTTGGGGGGAAAAAACTGAATAAATAAAATCTTATAAAAAAAAAAATAGAAAAGTAAAAGGAGAGAATTAGAAAAAATAATCACCCATATATAAAAAATGGAATATTATTCAGCCATGAGAAAGAAGCAATCCTGCCATTTGTGACAACATGGATGGACCTTGAGGGCATTATGCTAAATGAGATAAGTCAGACAGAGAAAAACAAATACTGTAGGATCTTACTTATAAGTGGAATCTAAAAAAGCTGATAGAAAAGAGAGTAGAGTGTTAGTTACCAAGGGCTGGGGTGTGCTGGAAATGGGGAGATGTTGGTCAAAGGGTACAAACTTCCAGTTAAGATAAGTTCTGGGGATCTAATGTACAGCATGGTGATTGTAGCTAATAATACTGTAGTGTACACTTGAAAGTTGCTAAGAGAGTAGATCTTAAACGTTCTCACCCCAAAAAAGAAATGGTATTTATGTAACGTGATGGAGGTGTTAGCTAAAGTTATGGTGGTGATTATTTTGCAATACATAACTATCAAATCAGTATGTTGTACACCTTAAACTTATACAATGTTAAACGTCAGTTATATCTCAATAAAGCTGGGGAAAAAAATCACCCATAACCACACTATCAAGAGAACCATTGTTTACATGCATATAAACTCAAGTTCTTTTTCCTGTATTTATATGTATTTTTGGTGGGGTCACTGTAGATGTAGTTTTAAAACTTGCTTTAAAATGTTTGATATGCATTGAATACATACCCGCACATAACCTTTTAGAAATACCAAGTTACATCTTGCTGGAGTTTATAAGGGTCCGTTTTTGCAACTTCTCCCCAAAAACTTGATCTTATCAGATTTGTTTTGTATATAATCCAACCAAAATAATTTTGACTCTGACTTTGAACTCTTTCTTAGCTGACTTTACTTTCAACGGCTTTCCAGATTCCCTATCACCTTAATCACTTGTCTCTATACACACACCTCCTTCTTCCTAGGGAAGGAATTCAAGAGAATGAAAATTGAACACTCTTGCTAGAGAAAATTTCCAGAATTTGAGAAGCTAGCTTGTTAAAACTGAGAGAGCCTAATCGTGTGAATTAGGATGCATGAATTAGCAAAATGTGGACACAAGCTATTTTCCCTAGTGGATATTTAGACTATCATCAACTATTGCTACCCTGTGTAGTCAGTCAACTGGTTGGGCATTGCATGACTCGGGGGGGGGGTGTCATTTCCATAGACTACAATGACAAGGCGCCCCCTAGAGTTGTGCAATGTGGCACACCCCCCCCCCCAAAAAAAAAGATCTGGCTGGATTACACCTAATTCAGTTGTAGGAATCGTTTCTAAGATGTTTTCTTTTTCTGGCTCTGCCCCTCCCCCCTCCCTCCATCTATTGAGCATTTGTCTCAGGAAAGCAGACTTTCTATTGTGATAGTCAAATTTTTAAAATTAGCCTTTTAGACCTTCCTCTGGTGGATAAAGAAGGGAATGCAAGCCATTTGGTCCAGGAAAATGTGTGTGTGTGTGTGTCGAATGAATCTGCTAACAGGGCTCTACAGGGGGAGCTTGGGAGGAAAACCAACAGCTGAGCTCTGAAACCCATTACAGCTTCGGTGGGTGGGTCAGCAGCTGGTCTGCTCACGGCATTCCCGTTGCTCTCCGGGCCCTGGTGCCTCGCCTGCTCCATCTGCTTGCTCTGTCCCTCAACCCCGACACTAGAGCCCGTGATGGGTGAGGGGCCTTATGTATTGGAAACTAATCTTTTCTCATTGCTGTAAAAACTTTCCAAACAGTTCTTAGACCTGAGAATCCCTTTCTGCTAAACCAGGACTACAACAAATCCTTACACAAAATGCTATCAAACAAGACAGATGAAGGCAGAGCTGCTTTGGCTGAAAAAATCCTACCTACCTCGCCCCTGATAGAGCTCTTTTGAACCTGTAGGCCTCTTGGAAGCAGAATCTGAAAACTTGGTGCCTCTCCTGGAACTCACACAAAGGATCCTCCTTTTCCTTGCATCCCCATGTGGCCTCTGTTAGATTCCCCTGGAGACTAGAGGGAGGTCCTTGCCTAAGATGCAAAATTTTAGAGGGGAGCACCAAAAAAACTCAGTAATCAAGATAAAGATCATTTTGATGCAATATTTTAAACAATCAAAATTAATGCAAAAAGTCCACAATGTACAAAATATTAAAATGTTAAATAAAGACAGGATCAGCAATAGTGCCTTGCTGAGCCATAATGGAGCCTGAGCCAAAAGGAAAAATCAGTAATACTGATACCTTCTTTATCGCAATTACTGAGTTTTTGGTGTCCCTTTAAATTTTGAGCCGGAAGTGGTGCCTCACTTTCCTGGCCTGGCTCTCCTACTGCCCTTTCCAGCCATTACTCTACATTGTCACATTGTCATATAACTGGCTGTTTCTCTTGTCTCTCACCCTCTCTAAGGCTATACGCTCCCTGAGTAGCAGGACTGTGTCATGCTCGTCTGTATCTCCAACATATTAAGCATATAGTAGACATTTAATAAACATTTTTTGAATAAATGAATTGGACTAGAAACCACTGGCCAGGGGTTTTTCCATCTGGCTCAACCTCTAACTAGCCTTGTGATCTTGGGCAAATCATGAGTTCTCTGGCTTCAGTTTACTCATCTGTGAAATGAAAGGCTTGGCAATCTCAAATGTGCTTCTGTATCTGTCTATAGAAGTCAACTATCTGTAGAAGTCCAAGTCTCCCCCAAACATTCCCTGCCTGGTAGTTGTTGGTATCAGTAAGGTATCAGTAAGGAAGGGTGCTGGTGTTTTGCAACAGATTAGAGAGCTGTGTTCAGTACAGCTGTGGCGTTATCTGAAGAATGTCCTCTTGGCCAAATAACTGCTTTGAACTTACATTTTGTTGGGACTGCACTTAAAACGCCATTTAGAGGGTAATTTTTCCAGTAATGCTGTCCTAGTTGGGGAATACAGGCATTGTCCTCTAATTAGATCAACATATGTTAAGAAATACTTTTCTCCTTCTAGTTCCATTCCTGTTGTCTCTAAATGTGGGAAAGGCCACAGAAGTATTGAGAAGCATTTTTTGCTTCCTCACCATCCTTCATATGTGATTGAGAGGGAGGAAAAGTCAGACAAGAGTGAAGCAACGCATTGCAGGTATAGAAACACGTAACCACCGAGCACCTACTGTCCGTCTACTCTGTGCCATACTCTGTGGGGAGCCCAGTGCATCAGACAAGGTTCCTGTCTTCAGTGAGTTTGCAGACCCTTCCAGGAGAGAAAACATGAGCCAAGAAACACCCCGAGTTGGTTATATAATCAGCTGCCAGGATGGTGAGAACAATAGGAGTCAGAATAGTGGGAGAAAAGAGGAAGCAAATCACCTCTAGGTGCCTTATGCGAATTGAAAATTTTATCTTGTGTGATCTTTGTGACTATCTTTTTGAATTAGATATTAAGATCTCTAATATACTAATAAAGACACTGAGGCTTGGAGCGAAAGTCAATGAGGAAGTATTATTTGCTTTCCCAAAGTGTTCACATTCAAGTTCTTCTGATGTGTTTGAAATGGATTTCTTGACCTGGGTACCGGGAAGCTTAACTGGATAGGGAAATATTGCTCACTTTTCTCCCCTCTGTGAGGCCTTGGGTTTGGAAGTGGCTTTTATATGACCAGCTCATCCATGGACTGTTTGCTTATTAGGATATCGCCAGGGTTTGGAAACTCTAGTTGAGGAATTTAAAACAGGCCATTAGTCTCACTTTCACACTAAATATAATTTAGGCCCTACTCCTGGGCCATCAGAAACAAAGCTTCCCATGTGTTATTTGGTTGTTCTAAAAGCTCTGGGTTCACTGACCAAAATTCCCCACCTGGCTCCATGCGCCAGGGTTTTTCTTTCTTCTTTCCAGAGGCAACCTAGATCCTGGCTGTTTCCATTGAGGAGGGCTCACAGGAAAGCTGCCTCCTTTGTCATTCTAAAGCCATAACCTTGAAATGACGGCTGTGGAGCAGCAGAGCCTGTAAAACTCGCTTGGTGCTTTTTTCTACCTTTTTTCTTGTCAGTTTACCCTGTTGTTGACGTTCTACCTCTCCTCCCTCCTCCCCTGCTGACCCCAGGCAGTGGGAGAGGAGTTGGGATTTAACCATCCATGAAAGATGGCAATTTGGCAGCTTTGGAATGTGGAGGTCTGTTTACCTAGGGGCCAAACGGTGGGGGGGGCGGGAGCCCTGCGGGCTTGGGTTCAAGAGCAGGAGGGGCATGGGCAAGGACAAAACGGAGTCAGGTGTGGTAGTGGAGGGCGGGCCTCGGGGGGGGGGGGGGGGGGCAGAAACAAGGCATACTTCCCATGCCTCAACCTCAGTATGAGGGATCCAACCTTCTCCCTGGGAAGCAGAGGGACTCAACAAAGCTCTCAAAGATTTGCAAGATACTGGCCTATTTGCCCACTAAATATTTCTACCTTTAAAAAAAGTCCAGTGGCTCTGGGACGACAGTGACTCACTTAGCATTTGCAACTTTTGAGGTAGCAATCATATCAATAAAAAGGGAGGCTTTTAAGATCTTTTTAATTTTTCTTTTTGTGAGGAAGATCAGCCCTGAGCTAACATCCACACTAATCCTCTTCTTTTTGCTGAGGAAGACCGGCTCTGAGCTAACATCTATTGCCAATCCTCTTCCTTTTTTTTTTCCCCAAAGCCCCAGTAGACAGTTGTATGTCTTAGTTGCACATCCTTCTAGTTGCTGTATGTGGCATGTGGCCTCAGCATGGCCGGAGAAGCAGTGCATCGGTGTGCGCCCGGGATCCGAACCTGGGCCGCCAGTAGCAGAGCGCACGCACTTAACCGCTAAGCCACGGGGCTGGCCCAAAGATCTTAATTTTTAAAAATTACTTTCTGATTTTGTAGGAGGATTAGAACTTCTATTCCATACCTGCGCAGTGCCGTTTTTTATTATCCAATGAAATCTTTATAGAAATATTGGTGCTAAGCTTTTTGAATATAAAATGTAAATCATCATCTCAAAGGCTAAGAATATGAAATAGCATAAAGATAGTATTTGATGGGGACTGTGGAGTTTCTGGGTAAACGGTTTGGATGGTTCTTCCATTTAGGCAGCACATACTCGCTTTGAGTCAAAGACATGCATGTCTTCCTGGGTCTCAGCTTGTAGCTGAGAGCATGACGCATCTTTCCGTGGTCGCACAGAGTCTTGTTAGCACTGGTGGACAGAGTGCCCAGAGGTGGCCAGTGAGTCAGCAGCGTTTCCCAGGATGGTGGAACACACTCTTTGGAAAACACTAGGAACTATAACAGACCCATGGGGAAGAAGGCAAAGTAAGTAGAAAATATGGTCCCTAGAAGAGCTTATAATTCAATTGTAGGAAAAGAACCCAAATTCAGAGAACTTCTCATCAGCAAGTGGAAGATTACTACCATACCCAAGCACAACATGGCACACAGGGCCCGCCTTATCTGTTCCTGGCCTCCACCACCCACCACAGACCACCTGTGCCTCCTCTCACCTTCCTTTACCTGCCAGACTTCTACTCATCCCAGAAGACTCACCTCTGGCATCAGCTTTTCCAGGAAACCTTCTGACCTCCCGGAGGATGCGTGTCTTTGTGCTTCCGCATGCCTATCTCAACCATTGCCCTTATCACATTTTATTAGACTGTTTTTCTCATGTGGACTGTGACCTCCATGAGGGCAGTGACTGCGATTTACTCATCAGGTAGCCCCAGGACCAAGCCCAACGCGTGACACAAGTAAATACCCAGCCATAGTTAGCAAATCAATAGGCAAATAACCACTGAGAGTTTGCAGTGACCAGGAAGGACTAGAGGGCAATCAGAGAGAGCATCTCAGAGGAGCTGAGTGTTGAGTAAAATTTGAAGGGGTGGCGCCAATTGGATTGGTAGGAAGAGGATTGGGTGTATCGTTTACAGGAAGTGTCAGTAGCTGCATTATGCTGCTGTCATGGAACATTGTACAGGGGATTAATGAGAATGGAATTAATAAAAGAAAAAGGAGGATAGTTGGAGAACTTGAAAGCACTTTATGTTCTCGATTTGATGGGCAGACCATGTAATTCTTTCTACTACTGTAGGGCCAATGCCAGCAGTGCCCTGATTGCACCAGAGAATCTACATTCAGCTTATTTAAATCCCACTGTGCTTTCAGTTTAATGCAGCATTTCCTCCATTTCCTGTCTGAAATCCTTATGCATATTTCAGTGGTGGCTGTGGATTATTTCCAGGTACTACAGTAAACCTGTGCCTATAAAGGTCCAAGCCAATTCAAGTTTTTCCTTAAGGCTGCAAGTTCTTTATCTTCAAGCAACTTTAATCTCACAGTTATTATGACTTGAGCATCATTTCTCGTGTATTCTCATGTAATGAAAAGCTCTTACTTGAGTCCTGCAGTCACAGCAGCACCATCAGGAAGAGGAAATGAGCAGGGTTGTTAACCAGAACACGCTGTACCTTTTTAAACATTAACCATTGTTGAGGTCTGCAGACCTGGCTGCTAAAGGCAATGATGGGAATCAGGAATTACATGCAAAAAAACCTTACCTATGGAAAATTTTAGAGTTCTCATATCTGCCTTGATCCACCAAAGTTTTATAATATATATATAAAATTTTTTTTAAAAAACAGAAGTACAGGGCCAGCCCCGTGGCTCAGTGGTTAAGTGTGCGCGCTCCACTGCTGGCAGCCCAGGTTCGGATCCCAGGCGCACACCGACGCGCTGCTTCTCCAGCCATGCTGAGGCCGTGTCCCACATACAGCAACTAGAAGGATGTGCAGCTATGACACACAACTATCTACTGGGGCTTTGGGGAAAAAAATAAATAAAAAAAAATTAAAAAAAAAAAAAAAACAGAAGTACAAGTAAATTGATCTCTTATCTGAAAATAGCTCTATCTGACCCATGTCACGTTCAGAGGAGCAACGTCATTCCATCTGACAGCATTTAAGCTAGAATGACACATGCCATTAGAACATCGCTGTGGAAGGAGTTTTTGTTCCATGAGGAACTTGATTTTAGCACTTAGAAGAGACTTGATAATCTTTGCTCTTTGCTGGCATAGCCTGGACATCTATGGGTTATCACTGATTTTTATAATTCAAGAAGCACTTTTTGTTGCTCTCTTGATTTTATTTATTTTTCTATAAATGTGAATCATGGAAACCAGCAGTTAAATGATGATATCAGAATTGTGATGGCTGCATCATCATCATTGTTGTCATTTTGTTACTGAGCACTTTCTATGTGCCAGGTACAGTGCAAAGGATTTTTATACATTAGCTCATGGAACCTGGCACGTACTTCTGTTATGGTACTTTTCCAGGTGAATTAAAATACATTGTATAAGCATCTGTCTCCACTATGTCTTGTCTCCACTACAGTCTTCTGAGTACAGGTCCTGTATCTTATTTATTTTGGAATCCCAGCAGCCTGCACATATCGGGCACTCAATACATGTCTGTTATGTAAAGGGAAACAACTTGAGGTAACAAAATCATACCATTTCTAGGATATTAAAAGGAGTTTATTACAGTCCTACTACTTTGATACAGTAGTATTTCTAATGACAAAATGTGGAAACAAACTGGATCCCAACTATAGGAGAATAGTTAAATATAAGCAATAGTATAACTACTTTGTGACATTAAGGTGCCCTTAGAAATTAAGGGTTTTTTTGGTTTTGTTTTGTTTTTTGGTGAGGAAGATTAGCCCTGAGCTAACATCTGTTGCCAATCTTCCTCTGTTTTATATGTGGGATGCTGCCACAGCATGGCTTGATAAGTGGTGCGTAGGTCTGCGCCTGGGATCTGAACCTGCAAACTCTGAGCCGCCAAAGCAGAGCACATGAACTTAACGACTTACGCCACTGGGCCGGCCCCCAAAATGAAGATTTTTGAAGATAAACTTTTTAACCCTGAAAAACTGGTGGCAATGTCAGGTAAAAATGTCACGATACTAAATTGTACATACAGTGTACATGTTAAAGAAGGAATATTATTCATAGAGCTGGAAAAAGTACCTGAAAAAAAAACCCAAAATTCTGATAGTTATTAAGGTGGAATAATTATAGATGCTTTTTTTTCTTTATCACATTTTTTATTAAACCTTTATATTAAAAATATAAACAAAATTTTGAAAGATAAAGAAAACAGCAAAGACAGCATTTTCATTGGTTAATGAGATAATGGATAATATTTATTTATTTAGCTAGTCCCCACTGTCAAAATTTTCCACCATAAACATGTGTACCCATTTGATTAAAAAGTTTTCTAGGGCCGGCTCCGTGGCTTGGCGGTTAAGTGCGCGCGCTCTGATGCTGGCGGCCCGGGTTCGGATCCCGGTGACGCCCCAAGGCACCACTTCTCCATCCAACCCGAGGCCGGGTCCCACGTGCAGCAACTGGAAGGATGCGAACCTATGACATACAACTATCTACTGGGGCTTTGGGGGGAAAAAAATGAATAAATAAAATCTTTAAAAAAAAAAAAGTTTTCTAAAATAATACAGCAAAGGATGCTTGCAGTAAAACAATTAAAATCTGTATTTCCCCCCCCTCACTGGTTCAGAAGACCCATCTGGGTCAAATATATAAACATCTCAGTGGAATTCCTCAAAATCATGTTTGGTCTAAATGATGACTTGCTTGACAACTGTCACTGTCATGTTATAATGCAGACTGTGAATAACAATAGTAATACTAAAAGTTTGGTTGTTTAACTTGAATCCAGGTTTGATTTACAGAGAGGCAGAAGCTTTCTTATATCAGTTAGATATAAACTCTATATAGTCCAGCAGCCACACTGTTGGGACAAGGCCTGGTGTAACAGATATAGTCGATACCCTCAGCATAACAGACACACATTTACCATGAAGGCACTGCTATATTCAGAAATAGAAATGGCCTGTGTGTTGGGAAAACTTTCCCTTCTGAGTCCCCTGTCAGAGTTTCAGATCAGAACTTTCCCCAGCCTTCTCACCTCCAGATTGTCTCTTTTTTTTTTTTTTTTAAAGATTTTATTTATTCAGTTTTTTCCCCCCAAAGCCCCAGTAGATAGTTGTACGTCATAGGTTCACATCCTTCTAGTTGCTGTACGTGGGACTCGGCCTCGCGTTGGACGGAGAAGTGGTGCCTCGGGGCGCTCCCGGGATCCGAACCCGGGCCGCCAGCATCAGAGCGCGTGCACTTAACCGCTAAGCCACGGGGCCGGCCCAAGATTGTCTCTGTATTGAGGGTTCTGTTCTTGTTCACCCTCCCTGGCCACTTGCCTTTTATTTTATTTTATTTTATTTTATTTTATTTTTTGCTTCCTTTTCCCCACTACTCTAGCCTTCTTAGGCACCTTGCTCCTTACTTATTTATTCCCACAATTCTACTGAAGACGCAGTGGCATCTTTTTGCAGCAAGGCGTCCTGTTAGCAGATGGTTCCTGTCTTGTTTTAAACAATCCTCTTTAGTGTCTACTTTGCATAGCTCCTGGATTCAATTATCCTTCATTGTCTAGCAAGACAGCTGCCCAGATGGTTTCTGGTGGGATAAAATGGCACCTTTCCACTGAATGACAACAAAATAGGAAATAAAGGTACACCCTAAAAGAGCATTTGCTTGGTTCTGCACAAATCAGAAGAGATTATTTGCACATCTCAGGATTAATGATCAATGAATTAGCAGAATTCCTGATCCTATTAGAAACGCTAATCTGGTGAGAACAGAGAGGACCATTTGTGAAAGGGGCTGAGCTGTCCAGACTGTGCCTGTCTCCACTGAGCTGGCTCTGTGCGAAAGGAAGGAACAGGGAAGGGAAAGAATACGTGTTCAGCACCTAGTCTATTCCAGACAAGGGGCAAGGGGCTCTCCCATACTCAGTGTAGTTAATCCTCATGGCAATCCCTCAAAGCAGGATTACCATCCGCCTTGTTGTTCCTGATGAAAAACCTGAACATCAGCAAGATTAGGTAGCCTGACCTGGGCCACACAGCAGGATGTGGCAAACTTGGAAGTGGGGACTTGAACTCAGGAATTTATGAGTCCAAAGTCTGCCATGTTCTCATTATAGCAGCTGCAGAACTTGGTTAGATAGCTGCTCAGGTTATTAAAGACCAAAAAGCAGGGTATAGGTCATCTCTGCGAGGCTGACTTCAGGCTCCCGCCGTCACGGATGCCAGGACTCACTCCCACACTGATTGTATGGCATGTAATGGCATACACCTGAGATGAGAAGTCACGTTATCCCTGATGGACTCCAAGAAGTCATGACCTTAGGAAGCAGGGTTTATGGCCTCTGCCCTAATACTGACCGGCTGACTCTGTGTCAGTTGCGTAGGGGCTAGCCCAATGAGTGGAAAGGGCTTAAGGACCAATGGAGCCATTCTCTATTCCTATCCAACTGCATCTTTTTTTGGAAATTCCACCATTATAAAATCATTCCTTAGGACTTGCTTTCCCCTCTCCAAAATATCCTACTGAAATGCATAGACCCTGAAAAAGGTAACACCTGAAACTCCTTTATCACCCAGAATCCCAGCAGGAAGTAGTTGGGCAAGGCCCACAGGCCAGGTGCTTGGGTGGAGAACCAAGTAGATGGGTTCTAGAAAAGAAATTTTTCCTTTACCACATCACCGTCTCTTGCCCTGTGTTTAGTTCTATCCTTATGTTTCAATTATCGTCTTGGTAAAATATCAGTAATAATGGGACATTGGGAACAGGAGTTTAAACCAATCATAAGTGGAAACCTGAAATGGACTCAAATGATTGGTTTTCTAGAACCATGAGCCAAACTAACTTTTAACGTTTATTTTTTAATAAATATTTAATTTTAGAAGAATTTTAGATTTATAGAAAAATTGTGAAGATAGTACAGAGAGTTCCCTTACATCCCATGCCCAGTTTCTCCTATTATCTTACATCAGTCATGGCACATTTGTCACGACTGAGGACCCAAAATGATACATTATTATTGACTAAAGCCCATACTCTATTTGGATTTCCTTAGTTTTTACCTAATGTCCTTTTCTGTTCCAGGATCCCATCCAAGAACCACGTTACATTTAATTGTCATGTCTCTTTCGGCTCCCCTAGACCGTGATAGTTTCTCAGACTTTCCTTGTTTTTGTTGACCTTGACAGTTTGAGGACTACTGGTCAGGTAATTTATAGAATGCTTTTCAATTTGAGTTTATCGGATGTTTTTCTCATGGTTAGACAGGGGTTATGGGTTTTGGGGAGGACAATTACATGGGTAAAGTGCCCTTCTCATCACATCTTATCAAGGGTATATGACATATCACTGTTGACAACATTTATTTTTAAAGAAAATAAATCATGTGGTCAGCCAGTCTGAACCAGAACTGGATCTGTACATTTTCTAAAACGACAGAACTGGCACAAAATCAGATTGCTGAACTCTCTTGAAACAAACTAATGTTTCATTCAGTCCAAGTCCTGATTTGTAAGGTTTATGCAAGCTCCTTTTGCAGAAAACATTTGGAGCTCCTAAGGCAAGACGGCTGTCTTAAGTATAGAATGTAGCTAGGATGTCATGTATGAAGACTTTTGCTGAACTGAGGGTGAGCAAGCGCGTGAGGACTGTCACTATGGAACATCAGCCGTGGATCCCTGCCTGTGGGGGTCTCAAGTCCCCACAAGACAAGATTAGCAGTGAACCAGACTTCCACATTTCCTGCTTCCTCTTAATTCATAACATTTCCAAACTGCTAAGCTGCTCCGAGGAGCCTGTACATTACCTTGTAGGGAAAGCGCTGGCAGAATCTCCTTTCATTTGTGTTGCATAAGAACATCGTCATCATTTCAGTGATTTAACCCTGATTAAATTTAGCTGTCAGCCTTTAAAGTTCTCTAAGAAGCTTTCAAACTCAGAAAGGGAAGAGGCATGCCAGCAGGTTCTCTACCATCCCTTCCCTCCTACCTTCGTGCAAGCTCCTTTCCCAGCAGCTGGGCGAGGCCCGGTATCATTCAGAGAGCAGTCCTCTGCCGGGCTGGGAGGTGTGGGTTCGAATGGATTCTCCCACCCTGCAGTCCTGCTGGGGAAGGCGGTGGCGGGACCTCCCCCCACTGCCTGCCACTTTTGCATCGTTCTAGTTTAAATTGCGACTTTCAATTTCTTGCTTCTCAGGTAAATAAAGCCTGTGGTTTTTGTTTCTTTATTTCATTTTCATTTTTTGGCTCTTTCCATTTTTCCTTTTTTGCCAACCCATCTTGTATTTTTCCTCTTCTCCTTTGGGCCCTCCTGTCCCCAGCCCTGTGCTGTCACTGAACACCCAAGGTTAAACAAGGAGACTGCAAGGACTGTTTCCCCTAATGAGTGGCTTTTCCTGTGCTCGCCGCTGCCTTCCTGCCATCAGGCTGAGTGCAGGAGGGGACAGTAAGGGGGTGCAGTTGCACAGCCTCCTTCCCTCGAGAGGGCTGAAGCAGGCCCATCTGGGGGTGGCACACACAGTTCCATAGGCCTCCTCCCACACGCCTTTTTATTTGTTCTTTAACAATCCCCAGGGTCTCATTGCTGCAAATTGCATGTTAGGGTTTTCATCTGTGCTTTCTGTGTGCTCACTGTGCAGAACTACAGAATGACCTAAAAAGAGGTCCTAGGAATCCTTGAAATGGGTTATGCCCAGGACAGATAGCACTGCCTTCCACTTATCAGTATCCTAAAAGGATGCATGAGAAGGCGTTTTGTAATCAGGTCCATATGCTCCAGGCCTGACTGATTGTCAGGACAGATCTTAGATGTTACGCAATCCCCAACTGCTTTGATCTCCTCTGTCCCGGTCTGTATACCCAGCTGGATAAATAACATTAGTCCAAGCATAGCTTCCTGGACAAATGGTAAAAATTGATAATGTCTTGCAGCACAGGTGCTTCAGATCAATGGAACTAATCTTGTGGAAGCAACAAATGCTAAGCCTTTTTATAAGACAAACAACTTTTGTATTTACAGGCTCAGATTTGGGAGGTAAAATGAATTTTCTGGGAGCTAAAAATGTTCCCTTTAGAGCTAATGGATTGTTAACATTCAGTGTGGTTATTGAACTCTTAAAAAAAGAAGAAAAGAAAAACAACCCAAACAACCAAAGTCATAAAACCTGCATTATTACCATCAGCTTGTTAGAACTTAACTTTCTGCTTAAGAGTGTTTCAAAGATGAGTCCCCTGAAAGCTTGAGATAAATACTCTATTATGAAACAGATAATCATTCTCCAAGTTGGCTCTTAGAGCACATCCAGGTGGAATTAGAGAGTCCTGTTGGAATATGGCTAGTTTTCAACTGTTTAGAAATGTTTCTTATGATTGAATAACTAGCCTTATAATTGGATTCTTGAGCACTTGTAACCGTTTGTCAAGACTCCACTTTACATGGCACGGCCTTAACTCGAACTCTCAAAAGATATTCCTCTGTAAATTTACCGGCAAACACCAAAGACTCCTACTGGCTTTTTTCCAGGTGGCAGAGGCAACGTAGATGCAAGTCTCATTCTGTTGGTGAAGACAATATTGTGTGGCTTTAGGCAGATCCTTCACCAGCCAGGACCTCTGCTTCCTCTGCCTAAAATAGGGAGTTGGACTGAGGTCTACCTCTGACAATCTGTGCCCCTAATTAGAACAGTGATTAGGGAAAGAGGGTTCTGCAGTCAGATAGCCCTGGTTTCAAACACTGGCTCCACTCCTAAGTAGCTTTGTATTGTTGGGCAACACAGTTAACCTTTTAGAACTCAACTTCCTCATCTGTAAAATGGTCATAATAATAGCACCTACCTGAAAAGGTTGGGGTCAAGATTAAGTGAGATAATATAATTACATGAAATACTTAGCACAGGGCCTGGCTTATAATAGGTGTTAGATAAATGTTATCTTTCATTAGTAGAGGCCATATTATAATGAACGGTTTATCTATATGTGGTTTCCACCCTGTTCTCACTAAATTGATCGATTTTTATGGGATGGATGAATGAGGCAAATGGGTCATGGAAGACCAAGACTTTTTGTTACAAATTCAGAAGTTGCTGTTATTAATATGGCATCAGTATTTCGCTTCTAATATTTTTGATGCAAAACAATAATTAGGTGTGTTGTGTCCTCTCTGGATTCTTCCTATGACCATCCTTGCTAGGAAAGCCAATGTCCCACTAGAAATTTAGTTCTTTTCCTCAATTGTCTCTGAGCCAGGAAGAAGAAGGTTTAAAAATAATTTTTGACAAATGGGGGTACCAGATTACAGGAGTATGTACTTTCTAGGAGTGTGTGTGTTGAGGGAAATATTCTGGGTCCCAATGAAAATCTTATGGCTCATCTCAATCAAACCCACAACAGTGGAGCACTTTGTGACAGATGAAAAAGATGGCAATGAGATAGGAGGGAGGGGAGAAGTGAGGACCGTGTGCTGACGAGGGACAGGGGAAGCCTGGCCTCTGGTCACACTTAAGCCAGCTGAGAACACTTGGGAAAGTCGTGGGAACCTCAGTTTCCTTACCTCTGAAATCAGGATAATACCTACTCAGCCCTTCTCCCAGGACCAATGAGTTCACGCGCAGAAAGGGCTCTGCAAAAGCACCGAGCATTCCACAAATGTAAGGTACTCGTTAAAAGATTCCACATGAGAAAAACAAAGAAATACTGAAATAAGTCATCGAAAGTAAAAGCTTCCCGGAAAGATTTTCGTTTTCTGAATTTATTTGAAATCAACAATTTCCTGTTTTGATTTTCCTTGCCTGAAGTGTTTGTCTAATTGCTACTTCACACAACCATTTCCACCTGGAAAGTAAGGACATCAGAATCCCCAAATTCCATTGGTTAGACCCAGGGGCTACACTGCGCCAAGGAGATCTGGAATCACCATGCCTGTTTCTGTCTCCTTCCGCTGGAATAGAAGCTCCTTACCGGCAACACCTTGTCTTCCTAGTTCCCCAGTGCCTGGTACAGGATATAGCGCTTGGCACTTCATAGGTCCTGAACAAATGTTGAACGAGAAAGTACACAGAGGTTCTTCCCCATTAGGATGGTGGAGTTGGCACCTGCAGCAAAACCAACAGAAAAAGAGGAAGAAATTTCAACAGGTTGGGGAGGGCTCTGGTAAATGTTTCAGGAACTTCTCCTATGCACCCCTTTCCCCCACTCCCTCTTGGTCCCTAAACTCCACGAGGAGAAGGCTGGTTATGGCTAATTTAGGATACTTGTCAAACCAAAGCTGCAAATAACTTCAAAAGAATGTGACAGGGCCGGCCCCGTGGCTTAGCGGTTAAGTGCGCTCGCTCCGCTGCTGGCGGCCCCGGTTCGGATCCCGGGCGCGCACCGACGCACTGCTTCTCTGGCCATGCTGAGGCCGCGTCCCACATACAGCAACTAGAAGGATGTGCA